CCAGACCGTAGAAAACAATACTGTCTTCGCAGAAGTGGAGTTCTGTGCTTGTTTGTCTCCTCTATTTTGTCCTGTTAGTTCGTACTCCCAATACTTTCATTACGAAGTGAAGTCAATTTCAGTTTTCCTCATTGCGACAATTGTTTTCGGCCTCAATGTTTCAGAGTTCCTTTTCCTTTTCAAGCTGGAGTCAGCTGACAAGCCAAGTGAGAGTTTAAAACTTGGGTGATCACTCCCGGCAGCTTCATCCAAATATGATTTCTTTAATATAAGGAAAACACTGGAAGTGCAGTATGATGTTTTCTTATGCATTCTAAGCCTGCCAAAAACCTTTTCTCCAGCGGACGGAGAGGCAGCCTTGGGGTAATGGCCTTCACTCCTCTTGCAGTACCTGGTTTGTGCTTGCGTAACACTATTGCAAGCAGAATACATAGGTCGGCAAAACTTGTCGAGCTCACTCAGACTCACTCACGAAATATATTATGAACTTTGGACTCACTCGGACTCAGGAAAATTTTCCTGAGCTGGACTCACACTTACAAAAATTTTCTTCAGCCAGACTCACTCGGACTCAAAGTCACCGAAACATTACTCACCCTGACTCACTCAGACTCGCAGCTCGAACTGATTCTGAGTGAGTCAACTAATGAATCCGTCAGCCTAAAATTAGCTTCTTCGATTATGGTGTCAATGCTCTTAAACACCAATATTACACGTAATCAGTGCTTTTCTTGGTGCCGTTTGACAGTATTTTGGAAAACGAGTGCCGAGTGTTTCGAAACCAGTAAGGTGATTTGTCTGCGAGGAGATGACAGTGTAAGATGGAATAATCAAGAAATTCCCTGGAAGAGTTAAGGGGGGGGGGGGGGGGAGTTCAAGGCACTCCCCTAGATAATTCACGCCTATAATTAATAAATAATGAAACGGAATGTGTGGGAACGACACTGCTTCAGAATACCTGTGAGCAGACATAAGTATAAAAATGAATCCACGTAAGGCTAGTAGTAATGCTGAAGATGACTAGATAGGACCTTAGGGAGGCAAAAGAAAGTGGAACTTACTCAGACTCACTCAAGAAATATATTCTACACTTATTTGGACTCACTATGACTCAGTCTCACCAAACCTTTCCTGAACTGAACTCACTCAGACTACTCAGGAAAATATTACTCACCCGGAATCACTCAGACACATGGCTCAATATGCGGTCCATTTGATTCGCCTGCACCGCATGAATCAGTTCAAGAGGTGCTGCACCTTGCTATTTGTTCCAGCGATGCAGTATTGACGACGTCTGAACCCCGCCATTCGTTTCAAAAGGTGCAGAAGAGGTGCAGCAGTGGTTTGCGATTTTCCTGCACCCCCTACACTGACGATGTCGGCTTGGTGCAGCCGCGAGTGCAGCTGAGCAGACGACGCAGTGTTTAGGCGTAGGCGCCGTACCCACCTCTACTAACGCAATGTGTTTTGCCAAGGTGTTTGCACCTCAGTAACTGTCCGTATGTGCAATTTACCATCAGTAAATATTAGTAGTTAATGGCATGATTTGGCCGCAAAAGAGACACACACAAGAAAAGGAACACTCAAACGACAAGCACAGGCGGCACTTCCAACTAAAGCAGACTAGGTGCAGACCCAGACTTAAGTACGAAAATATAGACATGCGCAGTCTTCATACAGCCTTACGCTATCCAACAATCAAACAATCTTGTCTCCGAAGCATACAACGTCACCGACGGTTCGCTGATACACCTTTCACCTTTCTTTTTAATGTAATAGGCTTCCATCAGCTCACGCGCAGTTTTGTACCTGCTTCTACCCAGAATCTTAAACTCATTAAAACGTGGTACACACCCACAGGCTTTACAGTGCATAGGCAAATGCGCCAAGCCATCGTTCCTTAAATTTAATTCGTGCTCCCTAACTCGTTCATTGATGCAGCGCCCGGTAATCCCGATGTACGAGTTGCCACACGAAAAGGGAATCTCATAAACAACGCCTTTTGCACATCTCCCGTACATCGTGGCGTGTTTTTTGCCGCACCCTTGACGGCTCGCCTCCACCTCCCGAGCAGTTCTCGGGCACAGCTGAGCCAGCTTTATGGGCGCAGAGAAGGCGACAGGTACCCCATACCGGCCTGCTACCTTTTTCAGGTTGTGGGAGACCTTATGAACATAAGGAATCACTGCAGGTCTTACGGTTTCGGTTCTTTGTTCCCCCGTGGCAGCTCTAGTACCATCACCCTTAGCTTTCCGCAAAAGCGCTTCGGAGACAGCTGTCAATAGCGAGTCAGGGAAATTCGCAGCTAAAAGACGCTGGATCTGGTTTCCGAATGATGCCTGCGTCATGTGCGTGCACGATTTCTCGAGAGTAGATCCCAGGCAGAGCGTAGCTATACCACGCTTAACTATTTTCGATTGGCAAGAGTCATACGGCATTACACCTTTCTTGGCGCGAGGAAAATATTGCCAACACGTTTGCCCGTCATGGAAAGTTAAGCGGAGATCTAAAAATTGCAGGGTGTTACTTTGCGGCAGTTCTTGTGTAAAAACGAGTCCTTTTCCGTGAAGCCTAAAAATATTTAAAATGTCATCGCAGCGCGTCAAGGAGCCTTGTCTGTTAAAAAGAATTAAAAAGTCATCCATATACCTAAAAACTTTGGCAACGTTCAAGGCGCTATGCAGATTAAAAGCTTCATCGAGCGACCGGTCAATACTAGATAAAAATATGTTGCACAGCAACGGAGCAATACAGGATCCAATGCAAATGCCGCGTTTCTGCAGAAAAAGCTGCTTGTCGAAAGATATAAAAGTGCTACGTAGGTAGGCTTCTAACAGAGTTAAAAAGTCGTCTATCGTTACACCAGCCGCATTTTGAAAGGGTATGGCGCCACTTTCTTCTATGCAGGATCTCACCGCAAAGAAGAGTAAGACCTGCAGTGATTCCTTATGTTCATAAGGTCTCCCACAACCTGAAAAAGGTAGCAGGCCGGTATGGGGTACCTGTCGCCTTCTCTGCGCCCATAAAGCTGGCTCAGCTGTGCCCGAGAACTGCTCGGGAGGTGGAGGCGAGCCGTCAAGGGTGCGGCAAAAAAACACGCCACGATGTACGGGAGATGTGCAAAAGGCGTTGTTTATGAGATTCCCTTTTCGTGTGGCAACTCGTACATCGGGATTACCGGGCGCTGCATCAATGAACGAGTTAGGGAGCACGAATTAAATTTAAGGAACGATGGCTTGGCGCATTTGCCTATGCACTGTAAAGCCTGTGGGTGTGTACCACGTTTTAATGAGTTTAAGATTCTGGGTAGAAGCAGGTACAAAACTGCGCGTGAGCTGATGGAAGCCTATTACATTAAAAAGAAAGGTGAAAGGTGTATCAGCGAACCGTCGGTGACGTTGTATGCTTCGGAGACAAGATTGTTTGATTGTTGGATAGCGTAAGGCTGTATGAAGACTGCGCATGTCTATATTTTCGTACTTAAGTCTGGGTCTGCACCTAGTCTGCTTTAGTTGGAAGTGCCGCCTGTGCTTGTCGTTTGAGTGTTCCTTTTCTTGTGTGTGTCTCTTTTGCGGCCAAATCATGCCATTAAGTAAATACCAACTAGGCCAACAATCAGTATTATTAAAATATTAGTAGGTCGGCGTAAATTTAGAGAAAAAAAAAAATAGGGCCTGCACCTTTTCAGCACTTCGTCATTCGTTTCGGTTGTCGCGCTGTGTCCGTGCCGCTGAAGTCACGGCGGTACACAATTTCTGAAATTCGCGTGCACAGCAGTGAACCGGTTCGGACTGATGCAGGTGAATCGAACGGACCTATAAGTCTAAGTGAGTCCGACTGAGTCGACTATAATGAGTGAGTTCACCGACCTACAGAAGGAATGGATAGAGGAAAGGTGCGATGTGTGCATTCCAGAAACAACGATAACATCTTTTCAATAAAATGCTCTCATACACTCCACAGAAAGAAAAGGACTTTGACCAGCAAGTCTAGTTTTCATTTAACATCACTTTGCAAGCATAGAAGAGTGATATTTGCGGCACAAAAGTCATCCAATTAATATGGCTACCTGATGATGACGGACATGGGCAACAAAATGAGGGGGAGATGCTGACAGAAACTTTGTGAGGAAAATTTACCACCCTCTCCCCCTTCTGGTTTTTTTTTTTTTTTTGACCCGCTACAATATTTGCGCACGCAATCTCATACCCAAACAACGTTTCACGCACCGCTCATTACCGCAGCTACGATTTGCTGGCATTGCTATGCGGATATACCTTGAGCCTGGGAATAATCGCTTGCGACTCGGCAGTTCCTGTGCCACCACTCAATGTATCTTGGCTTGGCAGCTGCCCCTGCAAAACAAGCAAACGAAACAAGAAAACGTTCGGACTTGTCATGTTCCACTCTTGGTCCTTTCAACGGCAAGCCACAAATACAGTATAATCACGACGGCTTTCCCTTGCGTGCAACGGTACACAAACAGCGAATAATGCATCACATTCTTTTCCACAACCAGTGACAGTTATTGGACGTGAAGGAAATGAAGCCCCGTGCACCACACAAAACCGTGCACGATACACACAATAACGCGATACCTACTGGACACGGGCCTGTACATCAGTATTCAAGCAGCATCTTTATTCGACACCTACCTGTTTTCCCACTAGCGATCGCAGCTTCTTCGTGAGGTCCATTGCGCCTCAGTGAATCGTCTGCACCATGTTTTGCTTCCAGATGATCGCAACTCTCCGTTCATAGAAGAGTAAGAATAGGCACACGTCTCCCGTCGAAATAACGACGGCACATGCCGATGATACGCCCTCTTTATCGTCTTTCTTACTTTCTTTTAATATGAGAAATTTGTTTCACTCTCGTATCAATGTTAAACAACGCTAATTATCCCGATCGACTGCGGCAACCAAGCAGGCCGCGCAAACCTAAACTTGGCCTCTCTGTGTTCCTGACGACGTCACGGTATTTTATTTTTTTTATCCTATATTTATCGGTTTATCTTCCATGCTTCATATGCTGTGGTAGGGTGTTCCCCGAGTTCACCTTTATTCTATGAGCTCACTTCATGTACCGTGTGCGGCTGGTGTGCGGTTCATTCGAGATGTCTGGTTTATTTGCGTTAGGTTCTGGGGCCGGTTCACTCTACCGGTAGCCGGCAAACGCGCGAGAACATGATTTGAGAAGAGCGATGTTCTCTAGTGGTACATTTTATTTTGCCCAATTCGCTTGAAAGAAATCTCCAAGGCCAGCTACATCTTGAAACAACGATCTTGCCACCGGTGCTGTCACTTAACCTCGGGATTTGTTTACTCTTGCTACCTTTTAAGACGCAAAGCATACAGTCTCGAAGGGCAAGTCTTGCATTTGATCAAGGAGTTTGATGCCGCGGCCGGCGATCGCAAGGACACCAGCTTTAACGTAAGGACATCAGAGTGCCGCGAGCATGTCGAGCTTGCTGCCCGAGACGGATAGCGAGGACGAACTGCCAGCGGGCTGGGAAGAGTGCGTGGCGAGCGACGGCTCGGTCTACTACGCCGACCACTTGGGCCAGCGCACGCAGTGGGTGCACCCGCGGACGGGAAAGCGCAAGCGTGTCGCGCAGCGACTGCCGTTCGGCTGGGAGCGCAGCGGCGACGGCGCTTTCGTCGAGCGGGCCTCGGGACGTCGAAGCCAGACCGACCCTCGGCTCGCATTCCCCGTTGAGGAAGGCGCCCCCCGTCAGCGGTTCGACGCCAGCTCTACGGCCATGCAGGTATTTCTCTCTTCGACGTAACCACGAGGCAGGGCTGGGCAGCATCGAAGATACATGTATCTGAGATACTCTGGTTTGGGTATCTCTGTATCGTGACACGTCTTGCAAGACGAGTATCTGTATTTCCTTTACATTTGATATATGTGTGTCGTGTATCTAAAGATACAAGATACGCTGTGTCTAAAGGTACGTCGGACGTACCCGAATACCAAAAGCTAAAGGTACGTCCGACGTACCCGAAACCGTGAGTCTAAAGATACTTCGGACGTACCAGAATACTAAAAAGCTAAAGGTACGTCCGACGTGCGCTTTCTCGCAAGTTTTCACTCAAGCGACTCAAGTTCCACCTGCCCGTCCGTCGTTTTCAAGCAGTTCGCACGACTGACCTCTTAGACGCGCGGATCCGAGAAAAAAAAAGTTTTCGTCAACGAGTTTGTAGTTGGACGCGCAGACGTTGCACCGGTTACATCAGACGTTGCACGGGTTGCACTTTCTCGCCTACTCAAGCTTGGTTTATACACGGAAATGTTTATTCCCTCCGTGGTTTACACGCAGCTATTATATCGCTGATTAGGAAAAAAAAACGTTTTCGCCATCGGGTCGATTTCGATGCAAGTAGTACAAATCAATCCATTCCAATCCAGTTCTTGGAGTCCGTCCGAGTCTGTCAGGTGTTCTGTGAGTCTGTCTTATCCATAGTCTTATCCGTCCTACTTGTGTGGCGCCATTCTCCCGTCTCTTCAGTCAGCGTGTTACAGGTGTTCTGTGGTGACCGTTCCGCAGCACGTGCGGCGCCAGTCAAGTGTTCCCGTTCCGCAGCTCGTGTGATGGCTGGCAGCAAATGAAAGTTGGGGACAAATTTCCAACGTTCAGGGAACTGGAAGCTGCTGTGAAAGGATACAGTGAAGAGAAGTTCGTGCAGTTTTACAAACGTGACTGTCGACTGTCACAGCGGCGAAGACCAAAGTGAAGCGTTTTCTGAACGAACGACTTGGAATGTATCAGGTGGTTTACTGCTGTATCAAGGGGGGCAAGTCTTTCAAGAGCCGCAGCAAGGGGGAAAGAGATACCAGGTGAGGGCCAGCACTGGTCATTGTTTCCTTTGTGTTTCTTTCTGTGCTGCCAATCCACCATGGTCAGCGACGTGGTTGCGTTGTACACATCATGCATTTAGACGATTGTTTCCTGAGAGACATTGAGCATGTGACAACGGATCACTTTCAGCACCTTTCAGGCTGGATGTCCGGCGTTCGTGAAGTGCAGGGCCTCTGACGATGGGAACTTCCTGGAGGTATTGAAATGAATGAGGACCACAACCATGAGTTATCGAAGGTATGGAGTTCCTAAGCATCCTTAAAAGTGTGCGACAGTATCTTAATGCCCTGTCCTTCATCCCTCACCATGTGTTGTTAAATTAAGCCAATACAGCTTTTGCTGTTACCTGTTCATATTGGTTAGTGAAGTTCAGTTCTGTTTTTTCACAGAAACAAACCTGAGTTTTGAGGTTATACAGGGTGACATGCACCACTGAAATTACTTTTGACGAAATGTTTGACGTGCTTACTTGATCGCGCAAAATGTTCTCGCTCAATTCTCATTGAGCTGGTAGCACCAGCACAGGGGATGCGAAGTTTTGCGATGTCAAATTAATGGGATCAAAGCAGTATATACAGGTTATACAATGTCTATAGGGCAAATACAAACTTCAACTGGCAATATCATACAATAAAAAATAGAAGACTACAATTATACAAGCATGTACAGTGGTATGTAATACGATTCAACAATTCAACTGGTTAGTGCACTTTCTAATTTCGAGGAAAACAATGCCAATGAGGGTGCTGAAACAATTGCATTAGTTAGTTTGTTCCACTCGACTATGGTGCGAGGAAAAAATGAATACTTAAAGCAATTATTGTGTGTGGGAAAGGGGGTTATGGTGAGGTCATGTCTCTGCCTGGTAGAGTAGCCAGAAGAAAAAGAAAAAATATCGGCTATGTCTACTGATATTGGCGTTAATTAGTTGGTACAGAAACTTAAGCCTTAAGTTACGGTATCTTAATGATAAAGGTGAAAGTTGAGCTCTGCTTAATAGGTCAGTAACGGAAGTCCTCGAAAAATTATTGTAGACAAAACGAACTGCTCTTTTTTGCACTTTTTCTAATTTGTTAATGTTAGTCTTAGTAAAAGGATCCCATATAATAGCAGCGTAATCTAATATTGGTAAAACAATTGATTTGTACGCTACAAGGCGGACAGAAGAGTGGATAGTTTGAGAGCACGACATAGAAAAAACAGTTTGTAAGTTGCATTGGCCGTTACATGTGTAATGTGTTTGTTCCAGCAGAGATCATTCGATATGAAAAGCCCCAAGTACTTATAATTAGTGACTTCAGTCAAAAGGTGTTGTTAGCATTGTATCTGAAATGCAAAGGTTTTTTCTTGTGTGTAATTCGCATAAAACAGTTTTATCAAAGTTAATGACCATCTGCCATTCCTCGCACCAGGAGGCTACTTTTTGAAATGCCTGATTTAACAGAAGTTGGTCGGATGTGCTATGAACCTCAGAGTACAAAACACAGTCATCTGCGTAAAGTTTCACTTTAACAGGAATTTGTTCTACAATATCATTAATGAACAAAAGAAACAGTAGAGGCCCTAGAACTGAGCCCTGGGGAACGCCAGAACCAACCATTACACATTTTGAGTTGCAACCGTGAAAAGAAACAAATTGTTGTCGTTTAGTTAGGTAGGTAATCTTTTATTCTGTAACCTTTATTATTCTAAAACTGCACATTATCTTATAAAGCCACTCAATTCTTGGCCAATACCTTCACAGTGTGTATGCGCCACGGGTAATAGGTGAAACAAGAGAGAGAAAAGAAAGGGGGTAATCAGAGTAGGAGCAGGGTCTTCATGGCCTCTGCAGCTTTTTTTAACTATAAGCTTTTTTTCATTTATTCCATTTATTCCACCTTAAAGGCCCGGAGGCATTACATAAGGGGGGGCGGCGTACAAGGTATGTCGAACAACTCAACAAAACTCGAAGGGTTCCAAAACGTAAACATTCAAAGAACAATGAAAAAAAAAAGGTACAATATGCAAAGTAAAACGCCAATATTACCAAATGCAAATAAAAAAGTAATGGTACAAAGGTAAGCTTCCAGAGAAAAGTGACGACAGTTATACATTAGTTAAAAAAAAAGTTAAAAAAAAAGATCAAGGCGACGTGGACGTCCCGACGATCCCCGTACAGCCGGATCATCAATGAAGCAAGTACTCTACTAAGCAACGACTCTGCGACGCATCAGCAGCTCGTTTCCATATACGAGAGACTCAAAACGATTAGCGATGAGATGAACAAGATCAACTCTGAATTGGAGAGTCTCATCCCGGAGGAGGACTTCCAAGCCGAGCACGATACTATAATAAAGTACGAGGACAACGCAACGCATATCCTGTCCGAGCTTCTAAGCGGGCAGAAACGCATTTGAAGTACACAAGCAGAAGATGGATCAGCGACGGCTACCTATACGATTGCGCTCGCTACACCATCTGGCAGGACGGGAGTCAAGCTACTGAAGCTCATGATTGCGCCCTTCTCTGGGGATTTGTGTAAACAGGGATGGAGTTCTGGGAGCAGTTTGTCCAGATTGTCCACAGCAACGCCACTCTGACCACGGTGGAGTAGTTTCATTATTTGTGACAAATTTTGAAAAGAAACGCTGCTTCAGCGGTGGCTGGTCTTCCAACTACGGAAACTTGTTACAATGATGCTGTAGACATGCTGCAGAAACGCTTCGTTGACAAGACGCGCCAGGAGCAGGAATTTTTTGCAACATTACATTATTTGACTCCTGTTCGCGCATCCGGTGACACAAGGGCCCTCTGGCAACTATATGACCATGTGCTAGTGAACATCTAAGGGCTGGAGTCACTCAGTGTGCAGCGGTCTTTATTTTTGTCGATGCTCTGTGACATCGTAGTTCTCTACTATCGTACTTGTGCCACACAAGGGGCTACGGACCATGCTGCTGATCCTTCGGGGCTTGATGGTCTTTAGGTTCCTTTCAATCGAACTAGAGAGTCCTGACTAGAGTGACAACGATAGCAGTAGACGAGATAGTGGTGGTCAACATTCTTCGAAAAAGCTAGCCCGAAGTCACAGCTGGGACGAGTCGACTTCATCTATTCTGCTGACGAGCTCCTCTGGAGATTCTTAAGGCCTCGGAGAGATTCGCGTGTTCTGCACAACAAGACAGCATTCCACAGAAGCATGTGCCACCGTCGTGTCCCTGACGCAGAAGCAGCAAGTGCTTTCACGTGACGAACAGTGATTCTGATGTACCACGACAGGCCACAGGGCACACTACTGTCAACAGATGATATCGTATTCGAAGTGCAAAGGCTGACATGCCTCAAGCATGTGTGACCCATGGAAGATTACTCTGTACTCGCACCAAAGCGCCATAAAGGACAGCGGGAGCAAACCAAATCAATTCAGTAAATTCACAAGTGCGAACATTGCAAGGAAGTGGGAGCCACGTAAGTCATCAGCAGTTGATTATCGAAAATATGGAAGCTCTCCTGGCTGTCTCGTACCAAGTGGGACCCTTGAAGGACATAATACAAGTGCGCTTACTCAAATGCCAACCGTCCTCTGAAATGAGGGCCCACACGGAGACGACATTATAAAATAATCGCAAGCGGCTCATTCATGAAAGAGACGCTGCACCTATGTCAAAATGAAGTCCAAACGAACATCGAGCAGGCAGCATCGCCGAAAGCCAAGAAGACCAAGCTGCGATCATTATGGCGTGAAGAGAGAATGAACAGCGAACGGGAACAGAGCGATAATGCAACCAAGATAACAGATAATTTCTGTTTTCCGAGGGCTGACGACATCGCGAAAAATTAGAACATCAACTTAAAAAAGTCATGCGAAAAAGCTGCTCAGGCAGACTTGGTAGTGCAGTACGAGTCACAAGTGCAGAAATTGA